AAGACTCTGTCGGCTCAACGGTAACATTTACACTGCTTTGGAGATTCAATATCACCATTTCATAAAGTTAACTGCTCAGTCCAGATCTACAACTAGACATGAAGGACTCACGCCCCTCTCTGTAATATAACCATTTGTCATAATGACATACTATTAACAGTCACCTCTGTGTAGGACACGGAGTTACCGCCAAAGCTACGGCTAAGTACATGAGATGCATATAATTGTAAAGACCATGTTAAAAGACTAGGAACATGTCATTAAAGATGACACTTCTTTAAACATGTAAGGACGTCTACTTGTCCAAAGGGTACTTGAGTGAAAATCAAAGACACTATAACATTACACAGAATCAATGCAAAACATACAAAAAGTATTAGAATTTTTTTTGGATACCATGCAGAAGAGGCAAATTTTTGTTAAAATACCAGAACTGAGTCACGCTTGGTTCTTTTAACCTTTCTGCCTTTGAGCCAATACTAAAATACTCTGATAGTGTTTCATGCACAAATATTACACAACAGTAAACACCAAATCTACTGCAAAAAAAAAAAAAGCATACACACACACACAGATACCAGTGTAATCCAAACAATAAAAAAAAAAAAAGACTATTACGCTCTGGCACAGTACGACCAGTTCAATTCCAGAAAAGAATGTCTCTGACAAGCAGATTTTTTTAGTGGATAAAAAACAAAAAGAATGTCCAGTGCACCAATGACTCATATGAGCCGATTCTTTTTTTAGTGAATCAAAAACATAGAGTGTAACCAGTTTAATATATGATTATTAAACAAATGGCTTTAAGCTGATTCTTTTTAGTGAAAAGAAAAGAAAAAAACATATAGTGTGCCCAGTTTACTACAATTACTATACAATTGACTATTATGAGCATTTTGTTTAATAGTGAATTAAAAACATGCAATGTGACCAGTTTAATACTATTACCAAACAAATTACTGTTTTTTTTATGAATCAAAAACATACAGCATTACCAGTTTGCTACGACTGCCAAACAAATAATCATTATTAGCTGTTTCTTTATAGTGAATCAAAAACATATGACACAAGCACAACCAGTTTAGTCTATAAACTTTATTAGCAAACAATTGACTCCTATTGTATAGGCCAGTTCTTTTTAGTGAATCAAAAACAGACAGTTTGACCAGTTTACTACAGTTGCTAAACAATTGACTCCAGTTCTTATGATCCAATTATTTTTAGTGAAAATCAAAAACACATAGTTAATGTCAGTTGTTGGATTGCTTTACAAGAGTACATTGGAGTGCCATATAAATACTATGGTGCCTACATATGGTGATAGCTCGGAACAATCATATATGTAATGCTGAAATAACTAACATGGCATTGACTGCTACAGTACTTTTTTGTAAGAGTGAATCTTATATCATTTTTCTGTCTGAGCACAGAATGTAAATGACCACAAGTATTTAAGGGTGGGAGCTCAGAACCCTGCACCAATTATGTCAAGAGCTGCCTCTAGATACTGTAGCTGGCACTGGTCAAGCAACCTGACAGTGCCGTACAATCAACATCAGCTGTCAAATTCAATGAAGCTCAGAATCTGCACTTTAAATCCTGTCACATGTCATGAACTCCTAAACTGCTTTCAGAGCGCATCTGCAGTCTGCAGCCAACTGTGCCTTCCACAGCGGAGGCAGAGGCATTTTTGACAAATGAGTAAACTTGATATGCATTCCTCTAGCATCTCAATTGACAAAGAATAGGCTGCACTCTGTGGTCTGTGGGAGTTTTCAGGGCCTGTGGATGATGTGAAATGTTACAGAAATGGAGAGGAGAGTACTGTTCCGCAGGCATTCATTTCCTTTGTTATGCCCTTAAGAAAAGCATGCAGAGGAAGCCGTGAAAACACAGCTCCGGTAAATATAAGATCAACAACAAAACATGACACTCTCTGAGGAGGCAGGGTGGAAAATGTGGGATTTCAGTGTTTGCCGGTTATTTTGTCAGGTATGATATCATTCCTTAAATGGATGTCAATATTAAGCGCCACTGTTAAAACATACAGACAACTGGGGAGGAAAAACAGCAGGGTGACAGGTAAACAAGAGATTTGGTTAGGATTAGAACTACTAGCTGTACTTGTTTATTCATTCATACTCGTAATCTACACAGTATGATATTGTGTGCATATATATGTGGGTGTACATACGTTTATTCCGCAAAGATGCATTAAATTGATGTATAAATGCTTGTAAGATTTTTATTTTTAAAATGTTTTATCAAAAAAACAAAAAAAACATGATTTCTGAAGGATCATGTGACATTAAAGACTGGAGTAACGCCTGCTGAAAATTCAACTTACCATCACAGGAGTAAGTTATATATTAAAGTGTATTTAATTTGAAAATAGTTATTTAAAGTATAAAAATATTTAACAATATTGCTGTTTTTACTGTAATTTGGATCAAATAAATGCAGCACTGGTTAGCATGAGAGACTTGTGATTAATAAGATTCAATTTCATATTAAGTACAGCCCTAGTTCTCTCTCTATGTATATGTTAGGCTCAATATAGGAAACCAGCTATCACTGCAACAACATAAGCTGTTCATGCTTCAGAAAATCATTGGAATGATTTCCTTGTGAAGAATGCCGTTTTTATGAAGACTGTTATACGGATTAGTGTCTGGTTTTATGTGTGAGATAAACAGCCCGGAGTCCTATTGGGATCAGAGCAATTGAGCTGCAGTAAGCAATCATAAATGACAAGTGATCTAATGAGATGCTGCAGTGGGACGGGGTGCGGAGGAGGGCATGTGTGCGACACTTCAGAAAAGAGACAGTAGTTCATAAATGAATGATAAAGCGTGCATGTATGCGCACATATTATGATAAATGTTGATGCTATCGCACTAAAACTGACATTATCATACAGACTTCATGCAATCTCCATGTTTCAAATGTTAGTTTACATTATCTAAAGATTTTTTTATGTAATATTAATATGTATACATTTATGTGATAATAAATAGTGACATAAGAAAAAGAGTTAATGTGAAAAATATGCGTCATTAATCAATGACAGTGTTGGGCGAGTTACTTCAAAAATGTAGAGTGCTACTGTCTTCAACGCTGCATATATAAACAGCTTGGCAACATATTCTCCATCATAACATCGACTGAAGAATATTTAAAATCCAACAGAGAAAAAAAAACACTCAAGATAAATAGAGGTTACTCATTTGAGGGGAAACAGAGAAATTAAATATCCAAACTAATGATTATGGCGTTATGAGGACATGGTCCCAAATCCTTTGCATTTTTCTGTTGGATTAGTTTTGGATTAGCTACAGCATTTCATTTTGTGACAAAGACCTGACAATGATGTGTAAAATCACAAATTTTATGACAACTGCTGTCAAAACACAGCAAAACAAAACACACCAAGCTTCCAAAAGTGGTGGGGCAAAATTTGATAGAAAAAAAAAAGCTATCCGTGCTGGTGAAATATTTGCAAGATATTTCAGGTATATCAGAGCATCTTTCAGGCTTTAAACATGGACAACATTTTGTGAATGCAGGAAATATATGCTTTTATTTTAATGGCATTTTTAGAGCTATCAGCTATAAAGCACATCTTCAGAACACAGTTATGGAATTCATAGCCAAGTAACCCTGTAAACAGAATTAATTCTGCAGAATTAGAAAAAAAAAAGTTAGAATTAGAAAAAAAACTAGGCTACTAATAAAAAATGAATGCACTACCAATGCATTACTAACCGAAGCTACTCTAGTTATATAGTGTCTATAAGTACACATAAAAAATAATAAAGATCACTTTCAGTACTAAAGAGCCTTAGGTTATGATATAATATCCTGTTAAACTCACAAAGATTTTCATTAGTGCCAATGTTTCAAGCTTTGTATTAGGCACAATTCAGTGAGCTTTGTTGAAATTTGTGAAGAGCATCAAATTGTAATTCAACAAGGTAACAGCAAAAGCTTTTTTCACATCATTTGAAACCATGAATATGTTGTTGTGACATTTTAAAACACTTGCTGATTTTGTGAGCTGTCAGGTTTGTAAATGAGTGGTTCTTTTGAACAGGCTCTTTGCAATGGATTGATTGAAACAAACATGTTGAAGACAGTGTTGAAGTGATTAGTGAGTTGAAATTACCCTAGTCAAACTCATTGGCTAAATCAAACATTATCACAGTCACTCATGTTTCACCAGTGAAAAATGAATACAAAATTAATAGACTAGCGAGAGAGAAAGATATATATGCATTGCATATAAAGTGTGTGTGTGTGTGTGTCTAAATTATTACAATACTGCATATACTGTATATACACACACACTGTAGTCACTGTATTTTGTTGATTTATTTATTTTTTAATTATTCTTTTTTGATAGTCATTAAATGTTTAATTGTTGATGCTTCCTAATGCTTAATGTATTTATCCACCAATTTACAAGTGCTTTGTCTCATTAATTAATTGATTATTGATTTGTCAAGACACACTAATGGAAAGGATCCCCATTAGGACCATCTATTTTGTTTTACATATACAGCCACTCAATGAAAAAAAAAAAAAAGTCCTGGAACATCACCCCGGTATCCCAAGTCTCAGCTGAAATGCCAGGCCAGACACACATTATTTTAGAATCATAAAAGTCTCCTTATATTTAACACTAGGGTCTGTTAACAAAACTACGCCACTGCACACGGCTCACTGCTCTCTAGATTTGAAATTAATAATGCATTGGGACCTAACACTGGAGTCAATTTACTATTTCTATGGCGCTCTGCAAAGTGAGCATTTTTGGAGAGCTCTGACATGCTGAAATGGGCTTTGGTGACATTTAGATATTGACTCAGGCTTATTGCACAGGCGTGCTGGTTTGTTTTAGACAACGGCATATGCTCAGCACTCTACCGCTTCTGACGAGGAACAAACAGGTGCATGATTTCAACGATAATAAGGCATTAAAATATCTCCTTGTTTCCTAGGTAACGGAGACCAGAACGGGGCCTCTTGGATGCAGTAACTACGACAGCCTGGATTCCGTCAGCTCCGTCTTAGTGCACAGCCCAGAAAATAAAATCCACCTGAAAGGTATGACAGCTGATGTGGTCTTCAGAAGAACAACACTGCACCTATGTTTGATAGTATTTGTATCAACTGCCCTGGTGATGTACAGTGAGAGGGTTTGTTGTTGTTGTTTTTAGGATGAGCAGATAGATTTGACTGAGGCTTTTTCAAGTCCCCTAAACGTTCTTGCACTAGCAGAACGATGAAGCAAATTACTTGCAGGCACACAAAGTAAATTCATGATTAATGATCATGAATCCAATTCAGAATGAACTGAATAAATAAAATGGACATTTTAAAATGTAAAATAAATAAATGTGACAAACAAAACAAACAAACAGAGTAACATGAACCTATTAATGTTAATAATAATAAATGAAACATAATAATTATAATAAACAAAGAAAATAAAAAGATGATCTTTTAGGTAGGTTCTGTGCTTTCCTTTATTTGTAACATTGGGGTCACTAACACGCTCCAAAGTTTCAGAGGATTGTTCATCACTTAGGAGAAAGAAAACTACATCAACAAGCAAAATTTTGATTTTGTTTTGTTTTTGGAGCCATTTCGGTGAAATAACTAGTACTAGTTTGTTTTAAACTGACAGAAATTCTCATCTCAAAATCTATACAATATACACAAACTGTTTACAGAGACAACTATGCCAATAGTTGGTACTAGTCCATTATCACGACACAATCTATTTCAGATAACCTTAATGATATCTGATGACAATACATGAAAACAAAGCAAACCATGTAACACTTTACAATAAGGTCGTATTAGTTAACATTTGTTAATTCATTAACACTAACAATTATCATGACATAGGTTACAGTATATTTGATCTTTGTTAACAATAGTTAACAAAAATGCAGTTCATTGTTAGTCCATGTTAGCTCAGGTCCATTAACTAATATTAAAAGATACAACTTTAGTTCATGTTAACTAATGTAGTTTGCTAATGTTAACTAATTACTTTACTTATTGTAGCGTGTTACCTCAAACCCTAATTGGTATATTTATATGTCAGTCAAATTTCCTGTGGGCAGTTCTTGACCAGAATACGTTGCAATGCAGACCAAGCCAAAAGTCTGGCTGCGACAGACCTGAGAAACGCATCACTTGTCTTCATATTTTCAACAAGCAAGTGAAGAGTTATCAAAAGACAGGCAATTAGATTTGCATTAATGCACCTCACACTCTCGTGACAGCAGTGTCACCACAAGTCAGAGGTGGTCGGAACAACAAAAAGAAGAGAGAAAGAAACAGGACTGCAAGGAGCAAAAAGGAAGGTTTTTAAGCCTCTAGCCATTGCTAATTATACACGTGGCCTGCGCCAGTTTCCACTGCCTTCTTGACATTGACATTTAAATGATCAACCCACTTAATACTGCCATCTCCTGAAGCAAGTTTCCTGCTGCACAGATTCGTGTAACTACTTTAATGAGCTAGCCATAGGGTTCGGCACCAAAGCTTATCTTTTGCTGAGTACTTGGGGAAGAAAATGTAAGGGGGAAACAGTTGGAGAGAGAGGAGTTTGGCCTATATTTGTGCATGTTTGTATCGGTTCTTTCTGCATTCTTTCATTCACTTCTTGGGGCTTTCCTGAATATTTTCAATCAAAGTGCCATGTCCTTTCAGAGAGTAGAATGTAGACCTTTTAAAATTAGGACATCAAGCCGTCAATACCATAGAGGACTGAAATAATCCACAGGAAAGATTCCTTTCGTTCGCTTTAAAAAGAGAGAGACTGTGGAGGAGGGGGCACAAGAGCAGCTATTTAGCAGTCTCCGGTATGAAAGCCATCCAAGTCAGTCTCTTTTGTGAGGCTCCCCACACTGTTGGCTCTCTACCCAGCAGAAGCCAAAGCTTGAGATGAAGACTGCATCTAATTACGTCTCTTGTTTTTCACAATCCGACGAATAAATACTGAGGAACACATCATAAATATTCACACTGGGAAGGGAATTCAAAAAGGCTGAATATGAAGGCAAAAGGCATTGATTCTTTCTTGGAGGATGTCAGACCTGGTAAAGCTGTGAAGAGCGTTTTCTCAGATAATATAATTAGCAGGTGTTCAGCAACCACAGCTGGGCTGTGAAATCTGAATCTTTCACTTACGTGGTGGAACGGCTTGTGGATTCATGTATTCAGCACTGAATGCTTTCATGAGTAATTCATAGGTGAGTATTGATGAGGAGGCCTTAGGAGATCACATCTAAAAAAAAATAATAGAGGGGGTTCTGCTCTCCAAATTGTCTGGGTGGATTTTTTTTACATGTTATTATCAAGTTTGGCTGGGAACTTTATTAGAAATTGCAACCACTATCATTTAAAATGTTTTTTTTTTTCTGTAAGAAATTCATTATCTTAGACAAGTATGCATTAAACTGATTAAATGTGCAAGTATGGACATTTACATTGTTATAAAAACAATTTCTGAGAAATACTGTTCTTTTAAACCTTCTATTCATTAAATAATTCTGAAAAAAAGTATCATGTTTCCACAAGACTATTAAGGAGAACAACAGGTTTCATCATTGATGAAAGTAATAAGAAATGTTTCTTAAGCACCAAATCAGCATATTAAAATGATATTAGCATCATGTGACACTGAAGACTGGAGTAATGGCTGTTAAAATTTTAGCTTTGCCATCACAGAAATAAATTATATTTGTACATTAAAATGGAAAACAACTATTTTAACTTGTAATATTAATTCAGAATATTACTGTTTTTACAGTATTTTTTATCAAATAAATGAGTCTTTTTTCAAAAACACTTGAAAATCTTACAATTATTTTGCACTGTACATTATATAAGGTAGATATGATAGAATAATTACTTTTTTAAGGCAAATTCAAAATACAGATTCATGAAAAATAAAAATATGACTTTTTTACTGATAAGTTCACCTGCCACTGGCAAGTGTGGCAAAAAAAAAAATGTTTGACCCTGTTTACAACTGTTCCATCTTGTTACCGCTTTGTTACAATTGCTCAAATAATCAATCATTTGTTTTCCGGGCAAATGTAAATTCTTCTTTTGCCTGCTATCAAAATATCTAATCAGGCATGAGAATTCCACAATAGCCGCATTGATTCCCTGTCTGCAGCGTGTCTGCAGTTCATGACAGAGGTTTACGGCCGAATGACCTTGCCACGGAGATTGTTGGTCTTTATTCATCCCATTACCCCATTACTGTGCTGACATAGCAGACCTCACCGTCCCAAATAGGACTCCCATCACTGATGCTGTTAGAGCAGTCAGGCTGCCTGCCTCTCTGACCCACTTTAAATGCTGTCTGTTTCCCAACGCAGCCTGTCCTGTATTGCCAAGCCAAATCGGGACTATGAATCAATAGTAATGTGTCTTTATTGCAGCGGTGTTTTTAACAGTCTGGGAAGCAAAGGTTTTAAAAGTTTTTTTTAGACCGATATAAATAAAGAAAAAGCCCTGAGTGTGATAATACACACACATACAGTATCACGTTCACAAACAGTCTACATCTGGTTCACCACCTAAAGTCAAGTCTTAATTAAAATGCACCTGAAATTACACTGCAGCTTGAACTTTGAAATGTTGAACTGTTTAGTGCGTCTGTTATGAAATCGGTTAAATTAAAGATTAAAGATGCACCTCCATGTACTTATGACCCTCATGATACCTGAAGTAGATCTGTCGACTAATGATATATCTGTATATATATATATATATATATATATATATATATACACACACACACACCCACACACAGTAATAAATAAAAGCTACACAAATTATATACAGTACATAGTTTTTTGTGTTATGCATATGTTGCTGGTAGTTTTAATGAAAAGGTAATATAAACATACAAACATATTATAGTATTAGTGGCTTGTTGATTCAGCTTTGCCATCACAGGAATAAATTACATTTCAAAATATATTAAAATACAAAACCATTATTTAAAAAAATCTAACCAATTCTGAACTTTTGAGCAGTGGTGTATTCCAATTTACCAGTGAATTACCAATTTACCATGCAAAAATTCCACTTTCCCTTGTCATTTCAGAGGTCCACCTCATGCCACTGCATTACTGTATTGTTCTAAATGGATACTTAAAATAGAAAACATTTTACATTGAGAGTTAAGTGGGTAGAGAGACAGACAGAGTGCTGAGAGAGGAGAGGATAGCCAGAGGGCAGATGATGGGTGGGTTCATAATGGTGTCATATGACTCAGAAATTGATTTTTTTCAATTGTCCATACGGGAATCTCAGACCTATTGGGGATTTGAGATGTTGGCCAAACATATTAGCACATCCAAACACCATTCTGAAATTGTTTACCAACCTAGCAGCAGACAAACAGTGCTATGTAGCTTACAAAATCTCTTATCTGGTCTTGGAATCAGATTTCAGTTTAGTTCACAGAGTCTAACATGGCAGTAAACAGATTTTTCTCTCTTCCCACACGCACAGGTCTACAGGATGTACTTCCTGAGTTTCTGCGGAATCGTTTTGTGGAGGCGGCCCTCAGTTATGTGGCATGTAATTCAGAGGGCGAGCTTCTGTGCCGCAACAATGACTGCTGGTGCCGCTGCTCCGCAAAGTTCCCTGATTGTAACTGCCCCTTCGCAGATATCAAAGCCATGGAGGAGAGTCTGCGTAAGAGCAAAGAGTCCTGGATCAACCTCAACAATGACTTCATGGACTCAGGTAGGTTAATCCAATGGCCATGAAAGTGTTCAAATCTGCTGTATAATCTCTCGGGTTATGACACCTTTCCACACACTGGATTAAATGGGAGAGTGGAACTTCTCAGGTTTAAAATAACAGGTAAATCTCACTGGTGGTGACAAATGATTGATATACTGTCATATTCCCTCAGCAGCTCTTTCCTGCAGGGTTTCTGAGTTCACTTCAGTGTAAGCAGATGCACTTTGTGCATAAATATACTATGACAAGCACATCGCAACTGAAAAAGCACAGACATAACTTTGATGCGCTACCGCTGCGCCACAGCTCCAGCAAAGTGTCTTTTAATTACACTTACATTGATAATGCACTGGGTAATGCAGTAGAAATGGGCAGTGGTGTAATTGTTAAGGATCTGTACTGCAAGCGCAAGGGCTAGAGGTACAATCCCAGGTGTCCAAGGAAATGGGAGTATTAATGAGAAAACAATCACACCCTGTTACCATTGTGTCCGTAGGCAAAGCACTTAACCCTAAAGTACACCTAGGGGATTGTCTCTGCAATTAGTGTACTGTATGCTGCTTTGGATGAAAACCATCTGCTACATGTTAAGTTCAAGAAAAATAACAACAACCCCTACAGAGTAAATATATTAAAAAGTTAATGTTATTAATTAATGATATTCATTTCTCAAAGTATCGATCAGAAAAGCAGTCAGTGGGTTCCATTAAAGAAAATAAGTATTTGGACACTAAAAGCCATTTTAGCCATGCATTCCCAATTTATTCAATTACTCAAATGGTTTGAATGTAATTTAAATGTAATATATGCCATTTATATTATTAATATATGTATATATATTATAATTAAGAAAAATTAACAGAAAGGTCACATTAAATGACTAAATTCATCAAAAGTGACAGTAAAGACATTTTTAATTAAATGTCTTTACTGAAAAAATAGATTTAAAAACAGATTTCAAATAAAAACACTTTTGACAAAAAATCCACATAACATAAAAATAAGCAGCAAATCAGCATATTAGAATTATTTGTGAAGGATCACTTTGAAAAACATCTTTAAAATTTTTTTTTTATAATTGTAGTTTTAAAAATGTGTTTTCTGGTTTGTGTGATTGGTCAATTTGTTTCTGAAAACTTTGAAAAGACCTGCAAGGGCCTACAAGTCAGTAACAAATGCAGGCTGCTTTGATAAATGGGCCCCACGTATGAGGTTTAATTCTGAGTTCTTTAAAGTTCACTGACTGTGATACATTTGCACCTTGGAGTAGAAATCTAAACCGACGAGAGGGAGGGTTTGTCTATTTTATTGCTCTGGTTGCAAGAAAACCAGACTGATAAAATCTTCGGTTTGAAAAATGGTGTGGTGTGTGTGAGAGAGAGAGAAAGAGAGAGCAAATCCAAGGTAAAGAGAGCCGAAGAGAAAGAAGCATGGAAAGATGGCACCTCAGGTTTTTCTCCTAGCTGAGCGTTTCCACATTCAAAGAATGATTGAATCAGCGAGATAAACCCAAGCTGGCTCTAAAAGCTTCTCCTGCATAGTGATGGAGCATTAATGAAAGCAGCTCAAATCCCTTTAACTGTGGCACTGCACTCATAAGAACGCATATCTCTTTTCAGCAGGTGAAGTGCTGGACTTGGGAAAAGGGCTCTTTGACCATAGCATATAGCTACAGCGTAAGGGTTTTATTTATCCAGCCTCACAGAAACCTGCCCCTTTTTTCAGGAGGCCAGACGGCAGATAGAGAACATTTGTTCAGATTTAAAATGGAAAACTGATTTGTCATGCAGGATTTTGATAAACAATATTAAAAATATCTGGAAAAAAAAACTTCACCAAAACAAAAAACATAAATGAGGTTTAACTAAGGTCAGGCACCATGATATCAAGTTTGTACTGTATGCTCCAAAAGTGGCTCCAAAAAGTATTTAGACACTCAAATCACACTTAAAATGTATGAATTTCATTACACTGGATAACAAAATATTGAACCATGGTATCTACAAACAAGTTACGCTAAAACTTTTATTTTCTCAGAACCAGCTTTGTTTTTGCAATTATTTTAATAAAATGTTGTTAAAATGACATTTCTGTGATTTTTTCCTTTTTTTTAAAAGGTTTGCACTATTAATGTCCTTTTTAAAATGTTTAGGGAAGTAAAAAAAACACACAAAAAAAACAGATGTTTTGGCTAAAAGCTCTGGAAGCTTATTTCTACCACGGAACAAAAAATATAAAAAAGATCATTGTGACTTTTTATCTCACAATTCAGACTTTTTTCTAAAAATTGTGACTTTATATCTTGCAATTGCAAAAACAGTATTTGAAAAAACAGTACTTGCAAAACCAGTGCTTGACAAAAACAAAAGCTAAACAAAACAATAACCTTCTTTTGTCTTATAGCCTCCTACACTGTGCATCTCAAAAAGGACAGATAAACACAATCACACCCACACACCAATACAAACAGAGATACTTCAGGGATGTGAAATCATCTTCCCTCACAATCTGCGCCTCAGTGCACTTTGTTCGAAAGCACCACGCATTGACCTTTCCTCAACCAATATCTCCTATTGGATGGCTTTCTAAGGCACAAAATGATTGTAGCACCACCCCTGTTGGTGCAGAATGATCCCCACGCACGGCCTGAGGTCTATTTGTACATGTATTGCAAACTCAACTGTCATAAATAAAAATACTATATAAGGTATAAGACTTCCACTTCAAGATCTGACAAGTGTTGTTTGATAAATATAATTCAGTGACACTAATATATCAGTTTGAGTCTGGTGTATGCATCAGAACATGCCAAATCAAAGCTGGACAGTACTAACCTGTTCATTCTGGTAAATATGTCATGTCTAGTGTTCCATTAAGGCTTTTAATCCATATTTAGATTGATCGATTTTTCTGTTTACGTCACATACTTTAGAGAATTAGTCATAATTCTGGTGCATATCCCATTAAATTATGCCGACCAGATGTGCATTTAGAGTGGAACTGTTCATTTATGATGCACATACGCACTGTTAGAGCTGGGAATTGTTTCCAAAAAGAATCCATTCCGGCACGTTAGGAATCGAGAATCGATTCCAAAGGATGGAATTGACTCCATCAAAGGGAATCGTCTCCTATTCATATTGCCTTGTCAGTTCAATAGAGCTAATCATTGGGTGCTTCTCAAATGGAAGGACACATCCTAGTGAGGATGCGTCTTTCCTAGTCCAGACCTTCTGTTGCTTCAAGGTTGTCACACATATTTCTAAAACTGGCTGTCATGGTATGTCATGCCGAAACATTCAAATAAAGCTGTCACGCATTATTTTAAGGTTCAATTCTCTCTAATAACAAACCATTAACTATACATTTTGCCTCAATAAACTTGTTTACAATAAAAACAATAAAAATTTGCTGCTTAGTGATAGATAGTAAAGTAGTTGTTGGATTTAGGTATTGGGTAGGATTAGGGATGTAGAATATGGTCATGCAGAATATGTGCTTTATATGTACTAATAGAGAATGAGGAGTTACGTCACGATCTTTTCACTCCGCATTGCATTTCGGGAAGGCGCCGCCATATTAGCAGGATACGCTATCCGTTCCCATACAATCACGACAAACAATCAAATACTGCCCTAAACTCAATAGCGGAAAGGCAGCGCTATCCTGCAAATATGGCGGATAAACAAAGCAGTTTCCCAGAACTCAACGCGGCGTTACGTCACATTCTCATTCTTTATATATAGCTGATATGTTAATAATATGCATGCTAATAAGCAACTAGTTAATGGTGAGGATTGGTCCCTATACTAAAGGGTTATCAATAAAGCCATGCGAGTGAATGCATATTGCTGATTATTACATTTCACAAATTTTGAACACAGAAAAAGTTACATAGTGCTGCTTTAAGTTAATGAGGTTTGCTGCCATTATCATTCTGATTTTCTGCATGTCGAACAGCATCCGATTGACAAATATTGATTAGCCTATGTCTTGGACAAACAAATAGACATAACACACAGCTGTAGGCCATGCTTAAGCTGTTCCTTCCTACCAGTGAAGAAGAGTGATATGCATCATATGATTGATTCCATACTAGGATATCCGCCCTTCCATTACCATATATGGACAGCAGGGTATTTCTATTCATAAAGATAAACAGAAAACATGGCTGACTGTTGTTAAAAGTCGCCACAGGAGTTTTTATAAGACTAAAGTGCTTTAAATGGGGAACTCTTGTGCTGGTGTAGCCTTTAGCATCACGCTACAAATAGTATTTGTCTAAATTTCTATGCTTTAATGGTATTTTCAAGTAAGTTCTGAAGAAATGTCATGTGTAATGTATATTTTCCTAACACTACACACCTATATGCACCTTTTATAGGGTGCAATTACATTTTTTTTGTATTTTTGTAAAAAATAATTCACATTTTGTTAACAAAAAGGCATTTTATACAGTGGCAAGAAAGGACTGATGATGGTTGTGTAAAGGTACAGAATAAAGGAAAATAATATTGATTGGGGACGTATGTGAAAAGAAGTGTGAAATGTTTGCAGGATGGAGGCAGAATCATGAATGAGCAGTTTGTAGCAAATCAGACAAGAGGCAATAAAATGAATGGGAGCTTGTGATTGTATTTCACTTGTCCTTTGGGAGTCAAATCCACTCAAATTGACGTGATATTAGATAATGCTTCAGTTTCAAGTCGGCGTAAAAGATTCTTTTCTATTATGAGGTACAGTATATTCGAGTGAAACTACTTGAATGACGAAAGAAATGCAGGACGGGACTTGATTTAGTTCAGTGGAAATTGGTTGGATCGTTGTTGTTGTTGTTTTGTTCATGGGAAAAAAACTAGCATTTCTGTAATTTTTTTCTTTATGATTTAAAATAATTCCAGTATTATTTTAGTAGTACTAAGCGTTCACATAAGCACTTTAGTTGGAGCAAAAGGTTAAACATTCCATGATTAATCGTGTTTACAACAGTAAATTTAGTA